ACCAACTTTAAGATGATGATAATGATGATGATGATGATGATGATGATTATTATTATTATTATTATTATTATTATTATTATTATTATTATTATAGAGCCATAAATAAGAATTGGGCAGTAACGGTAATTGAGCTTTTTTTATTAAAATAGAGTTACAATGATGACAAAACAATTGAGAAAGTGAGAGTTGAGATTGTTTTGTCATTTGTAATATTTAATTTGAGAAATTCTTGGGAAATTGTTATTCATCATATATGAGAGATTATTTGAAATTCATTGGAAATTGTTATTTATCATATATACGAGATTTGTGAATCTGTGATATTGATTATCTGTATGTATTTTTCTAGAATACATAATTTTTTCGTAACTTTTTAATAAGTTTGAATGTATCCCATTAACTCCACGTGTCTGTGTCTGCCACTGCTAAAGATGAAAACTAAAAAATAATAGCTAGGAAAATTACCCCTTTCCAATAGAGAGTGACAGGATGCCTTCTACCATAAGTATGAAGCATTGAAGTTTCCGCAAACTTGAAACACCCTAATCCTATTTATACTTAAAAATTTCTAGGGAAAAAGGGAAGTTACCAAACTAAGAAATAAGGAAAATTCCTAATTTAAACCTAAGGGTGTCATTTATGCTCTCAGAGCCCAAGTTTAAATGCTGATAACAAGAGAACCCAGGGGACACGATTTATGTGACCTAATGCATACATGTGCTCATGCACCAAATAAAGGACTTGTACAGGTGAACCACAAAATGCTAAAGACTAACATCAGAAATAATAACATTCATGCTAATTTTGATGCTTGCATTATTAACTGAAAACACCAAATCAGTATTACACGATCTACCAATGCATTTTCCACTAAGCAACAGAAACCACATGAATTCAACAAATGGTTAACACCAAGATTTAGATTGACATACCAATAAATTATCGTTTTTATCACCATGCCCAATAATCTCCTTTATCAGCATCTCCCTTGCAGTTGAATCACCACACTCCAGACATTTTTCAACAACATTTGAAGCAAATTTATGCTGGCTCAGTTGTACTATAGATCCAGTTATTTTACTAATAATTTGGCTTCTTTCATGAGGCTTTCCCCTCTCTAGCACGTGCTGTCATTAGTTAAAACCAATAAAAGCAGCATGCACCAATCAAAAACTGGAAGTTTGAATTGAAACTTTACAATATGAAAACAATTTCATCATTTCACTAATAAATTTTCATTTCAGTCACATCATGGAAAAAATTCTAAGAATTGTAGAACTAACCTTCACAAAATGGAGGAAATAACAAAAGAATGTTGATCCACTTGATCTAAAAACTTAATGATGGAGATGAGTAATGATTTAATATTGAAGATTTATCAAGTTTAGAAATTTACTTTTAGAAAAGCAATTGGGGTTTAGTTTTGAAGATTTTCTAGCGTATTATGTTAATCCTTTAGCTGTTTTCCTACTTAAAATAGTCTACTTGAAACCCTATATAAAGAGGGTCTATAATGCTTACTTAGATTTGATTACTGAATTAACACAGATTTTCTCCTTCTAATAATCCAACCCCCCCCCCCCTTCCTCCTATCTTCTCCCATCTATTTCTCTTCCTTTCCATAATTCTGGTTCTTGTTTGATTGCATTCATCATAACTTAAGCTGTTACAAAGGTCACATGTATATGATTTAAATCACGGCCTTACATGTGCACAATTTCATTAAATGGGTGACAATAAGACTTGAACAAGGACCTTTAACTACTCTAATATCATATTTAACCACCTTATCTAAAAACTTAAGCTGTTAGAGAGGCCATGTATATATCATTTAAATATCATTTCAACAAAGAATAGGCTGGGAGATAGGGCAAAGAGCTCTCTTTTTTAACATAAATTGAAGAAACAAACAAAATCAACCTGGGTTACATAGTTGCCATACTGGTCCTGAATAAGAGTGCAAACTGACTCCAAAATTTCATCCACTATAAACTGTGTCTGCAACTGATCGTTACAATGCTCGAGGACCCTCTTCAAACAAAAATAAATAAATAAATAAATGAACATCTCTATAACAACAGAAATAAAGAAGTGAACAGAAAAACAATAAGCAACAGTGCCCCCAATTACTGATGCAAAATTACCTGTATGACGCGGCAACCATAGGGATGCATTGAAAGTGTCGCAACTTGACCGCGGAATGAAGAAATTATAAAGCCAATATCAGAAGCTGGAATGCTTTCTATGCACTTTTGTATTACATGATTCCCATTTTGATCACGAACACATCTCATCACATGTCCGTCCAGCTCTCTGACAAGCTTTGCTTTCTGCTCCAACTCAATAACTTCAAGAGCCTATGGAAGAAATCAACCAAATACAAGATGAATTTTCCAATCATTATTATCTCGGTTAGATTGTATGGGGAAAATAAATCAGGAAGAAAACATTTTTAACATCCATGTAGATTCAATTTTGATAAGCTAAAGTCCTAAACTGAAGAAGTGGAGAAATTATATCCTAGGTATACACTATAAAAAATAAAAAGATACTAAAATATGATACCATATCCATTGGGGAGGGCAGACTGAACCTCAAGAATTTATGTTAACTGTTAGACATACAATAAGAAAATGTATGTAGACTTCATCTGATCAAATCTAGATAATTGTTCCAAGTCAAAAGCAATCGACATGTCATCCCTTTACCAAACTTGAAACAACAAGAAGCCATATTGCTAATAAACTTGGATCATAACATGAAACTTTTTGTCATTCTGTACGATCCAAAGCTACCTCTTCTAAACTAATCAAACTGGACAAATCTGGAGTATTTTCAGGAAACGCATAACAGCACAGGTGGGCCCAACATATGAAGACATTTATGAGGGAAAAAAAATCTTAGGAAAAAAAGGGGGGAAAAAATAAAAAATAAAAATGAAAGACACATACACATGCATAAGCAGTCAAACAGCATATAGAATAATGTCTCTTGGAAGAACATGGCCAGGCAAAAAGGTCAGTATGCGTATATACTTATCAATTAAACAGCAGTATCCACATGACATGTTCATGCCAAGACTATTTTGAAGCAGAGGATTAAAGCCATCTGGTCTAGATTTTCATAAAGGGCACGTCAGGCATGCTGTATAAGATTGGATAAGGATTAATTTCCTATCTTGTGTTTGGTGAATTAAATTAATCCATCTTTAGTCATCTGGATAAAAATAATAAGCTTTAAGAGATGAATTTAGGCAAGATTAATAATTCACCGTCTCATGATTCATGAATAATTGGGAGCAAGTAGTCGAATTGAAATACTTAAACTTACTTATAAGTAATTTAAGTTTATATATAAATAAGTTTACTTGATGAGTAAAAGAATTACTTATGGAAAAATACTATATGATTTACCTATAAGTAAATTTTAATATAAATATTTTTTTAATTAATTAAAATCAAAATAACTAAGTTACTTATTTTGATAGTCACATATTAAACAAAAATTTACTTATAAGAAATTTAAGTTTATATTTACCAGTAAATTTTAACATAAATATTTTTTAATTAATAAAAATAAAAATAATTAAGTTGCTTATTTTGATAGTCACGTATTACCTAAAAAAGTAACCTTTTTTTTACTTGAAAAGTAAACATAATAAGTTATCCAAACATGTTCTTGATAAAAAAGTAAATTTACTAATAAGAAAATAAGAATTTTTTTTTTTTTTGTTAATTAAAGTTCAAAATAATTAATTAATTACTTATTTTGAGACAAACATAACAATTACTTTTAGATAAAAAGTAATTTTCCTCGAAATAGAAAAGTAAGTCATAAAGCCCAATAAAGATAGATTCTAGAATGTTCACTAGTTAGTTAGTAGGAGGATAAAAATGTAATAGGCTATGTAAGGAATTGCCTTTAAATAGAAGGGAAAAGAACGGTAAAGGCATGCAAAATATTTAGAAGGATCTCGGATTATAGAGGAGAGTATTGGGTCTCTCGAATACCCAACTATCTTTTACTATTCAGCAAAGTAGAGATACAGAGAGTTTATATAGTTACTGTAATTCTCATATATTAGAGTGCTCTTTACATTTTTTATAGAAAGGCAATTACGCTTTCCAAGTAATCCCTTGCGTTCTGGTTTCTGTCTTCATTTCTACACTTGATGTTGTGATTGAATGGCTATAGGATCTTATCAAAATGGTATCAGAGCAACCATTTTGGCCCTGGGGTATTACATCTGATGAAGAAAAGAAACTAAAAGATTGGGTTAGTAATTTGGAAATAAGGATGGATGAATTGCAATCAGACTTACAAGAAGATATGGAGTCCAAGAAATCTGAATTTCATACAACCATGGCATATATGATGGAGAAGTTGGATTTAATGATGAAGAAATTGGATGGGCAAGAAGAGGAAAGGAAGAAGAAGGAACTCACAATCAATACAGCTGAAAGCACTGCTGATTCTGAGATTCCATTAAAATCCAAAGTGGTAAGAGAAAGTGAAGCTGTAACAATTCACCGTAAGAAGTCTGAGAAAGTAGAAAACCAAGGTCGACCAATGAAAATACCGATGCTTATTGGAGATAATCTGACCGACTGGTCTGGTGGAGAAGATAAGAGTTGGATTTGGATGTATGGCGACCTCGACGATGAAGAAACTGGAAGAAATGGGGCTTACAATTAGGGCTGGAGTTCATATAAAAGATCCTGTGGGCTTGATTATGAAATTGAACCAAATGGGAGAAGACTCAAAGGACTTCCTGAAGCAAGCTCAACTCAATTTTGGCCCAAATAAAATAAGACATAATTCTAACCACTTAAATCCAGCTTTTAGCCCACTTATACACTCATATGAAGCCCTATTTCATACTCAATTCACCCGCTTAATCCACCCAACACACCAAACCAACCCAAAATCGGCAGCAACCATACTCCAACGACTGACAGTCGCAAAGAGTGCTCCTCCATTTAAGAGACTCATCGACGCCAAGCTTCATCTGAAGAGGGAACAAGCTGGTGTTATCACGGTGATGTAACACACAACGGGTCATAGGTGTCGAAATAAAGAGTTGAGGATTTTTGTGGTACAAGAGGAAGAAGAAGATGTTCCATGGCATGTTGAAGAAGAGGAGGAAGAGGATGAAGTAGGTGAAGTAGGGGAGATATCACTTAATTATGTGGGAGGACTTACCACATCAAAAACCATGAAAATCAGGGGTTCGATTTTGGGGCATTCAGTAATAGTCTTGATTGATAGTGGAGCTATACCTAACTTCATTTCAGCAACGTGGGTTGGCCAAATGAAGCTGCAGACCACAGAAACTACTAGCGGTGATGTAACACACAACGGGTCATAGGTGTCGAAATAAAGAGTTGAGGATTTTTGTGGTACAAGAGGAAGAAGAAGATGTTCCATGGCATGTTGAAGAAGAGGAGGAAGAGGATGAAGTAGGTGAAGTAGGGGAGATATCACTTAATTATGTGGGAGGACTTACCACATCAAAAACCATGAAAATCAGGGGTTCGATTTTGGGGCATTCAGTAATAGTCTTGATTGATAGTGGAGCTATACCTAACTTCATTTCAGCAACGTGGGTTGGCCAATTGAAGCTGCAGACCACAGAAACTACTAGCTACGTGCAGAATCACAAGCTGCAGTCATTAGATCTACTGTTGCAACAGAGAAGAATCCTTTCCAGCAGCTATACATATCAGCATCAGATCAGCAGCAACGTCCAAATCTATTAAAATGCCACCAGCAAACCTGGTCCCTGGCTTCACCTTCGACGGAAGTGTATGAACAAGGACCATTGCGGGAGGAGAAGAAGGCAACGAAGAAGAAAGGGGAAGAGAATGGGCTGGAATTGATGGCTGAATTTCAGATAAAAGAATCTATGGGCTTGGTTCTGGAATTGGCCCGACTAGAGGAAGGCAGCAATGAAGTTGTGAAACAAGCCCAATTAAATTTCGGCCCAAATGGAAGTAAACTTAATAGGCTCAACCCACCATTAAGTTACAGCCTACAATTTTCCTATAGTCACTTGCTTCTCAAGGTAAATTCCAAATCTATCGCATCTACTGTACTTCATCCAGCAACGATGGCGAGGGAAATTGAAACTAAATCCCAGGCAACTACCGAGAGTGTTTATATTGCTGCTTTGGCATTGGGGATTGCAAGTCAGTGGATGAACATACTGAGCGATGTCGGAGAAGAGGCAAGAAGAGGAGGAACCGACCTGCCGCATGATGAAATCGAGGTGTATGACTACAATAATTTCACAAGGGGGGCATGTGTAAACAAACTGAAGAAAATGCTTGCTCCGCTTATTGCATATGCAAGTACGCTGTTTCAAAAATTAGATATTTCGTGGGTAGGGGCAACTGGATATGGAATTGCCCTGAACACTATATTGGTGATAGTTTCTCAACTGAGTAGGTCCGTCCACTTCGAAAGGGTGAAACACCCATTCTCCGTAGTGACCATGACTGGAGTTCTTGCAAGGAAAATGGGGTGGTTACATGATGAATTAACCAAGACAGCAACAACTTCCACCTTGAGGACAAGGTGGATTTCGAGGCGACGGGTAATGATAGAGCCCAATAAAGACAGATTCTAGAATGTTCAATAGTTAGTTAGTATGAGGATAAAAATGTAATAGGCTATGTAAGGAATTGCCTTTAAATAGAAGGGAAAAGAACGGTAAAGGCATGCAAAATATTGAGAAGGATCTAGGATTATAGGGGAGAGTATTGGGTCTCTCGAATACCCAACTATCTTTTACTATTCAGCAAAGTAGAGATACAGAGAGTTTATATAGTTACTGTAATTCTCATATATTAGAGTGCTCTTTACATTTTTTATAGAAAGGCAATTACGCTTTCCAAGTGATCCCTTGCGTTCTGGTTTCTGCCTTCATTTCTACACTTGATGTTGTGATTGAACAACTACAGGATCTTATCAGTAACTTACATAAAACATTTTATAGAAAAAAGTTACTTAAAAGTAACACTGCTTTTTAAATCTTAACAAAAATAATAATAAATTTTTTATTTTTAAATAATATCAATGATTTTTTTTTAAAAAAAATTGTATAGAACCAAATGCCATATTAGAACAATACGCATTAATCCACCTTAATAAAATCTCGCATAATCCTATCCTTCCTAATTCATCCCCCAAGCTATTCAGTGTACCAGAAGCACCATAAATGTCAGCAAGTTATCAAGTTCAAACAAAATCTGCTAGTATTAGTATATTTAGTTATCAATTTTGATACGTATTTTAGGAAAAATGGACAGGTTTTGGTTTATTAGATTTTATTACAAATTTCCTACTTAGAATAGGATCTTTTAAAATTCTATTTAACTGGGTATTTTTTATTGTAATAGAAACAACTTTGATAATGAAATAAAGATTGATATTATCTCCCCAATTTCTCTTCCACCTATCTAATTCTTCTTCCCTTTCTACCTCCATCCTATCTTCCCCTCTTCCTCTCCTTCTCCCTCCTTTCTCTTCAGCCCTTCTCCTATAATTGTTCTTGTCGAATCCTACGTCAATAACATTACTTTAAACTAGTATATTCATGCATCACATATAACGCTGGACGTGGACATAGGGTGAAATGAAGAATGGGGGTTTGGAGGATGAGGGATTTACCAACATGCAAAAGGTCGTTGTAGTGTAACTCTGAAGAAACACAACACATTGTCACTTGCACATGAATTGCATTAATAAGCACTGCCACATTAGAGTCAGGATATTACCTTTTGGATTACACGACACCCATACATCTGCAAACTTAAAGGTAAAACTTGATCTGTCAATTGATTTGCAAGGTCTTTTCGTTGTTTCAGGGTACCATATTCAAATAGCTGCACCACATTTAAGACGAGCAAATCATGCAATCATATGAACACTTGCAAATAAAAACAGGAAGAATCTACCAATAATGTCAAGTAATTTGGGACAGCACCTTCTGAATCACATAGTTGCCGAAAACATCAGTCATTAGTTTTGAAGCATGGGGGACAACTTCCCTGAACAAAGACTCCTTCTCTTCAGCACTACAATTTTCCAGCTTCTGCTGAATAAATCTACTTCCATGTTGATCAACACTGAAGACAATTGGAAAGTAATTGTCAACCCATTACAGTAATTGATAATATTTACATAAGAAAATCTGGGATAGAACAGAGCTTGCCTAACTTCAGCAATACGTCCTGTTATATCAGATAGCTTGTATCTTTGACCTTTACCCGATTTCAACTCTTCGAGAAAAGAGAATGAAATAGTATCTTCATCAATTGGACTGTGAAGTCCAAAAGAATTGCCTGCATTTCCACAGGAAGCTTGAGAAAGACTCATGTTATTTCTCCCTCCAGAAAAAGTGTTTCCTCCTACAGGTGTTCCTGACAAAACAGGACTAATGACAGGTGAGGTAGGAAATTGCATCAAAGGGCCAACATTTATGTGGCTTCCAAAAGAAAAATGACTTGGTGTGCTTCCTCTTCTTGGATTCAAACTGTTATAGTCTGCACTTGATGGATGCAGGAATCTCTGATTGGAAGAATAAGCAACATGCTCTGGGCCACTTTTAGGGTCACAAGCATTTCCTTGGCTCACAATTGCACCATCTCTTGGCGTTGGATGACCAAAATGACCATACACACCATATGAATCTCGCATGGGTTGTCGAATGTACTGCATATGAAAAGGATCAGATAGAGGAGGTTGCATGGAAAATCCAACTTGTCCATAGAACTTCTCTGGATGTTGCATGTCATATCCATGAACACTTCCTCCCTCTGGGACGCCAGAAGCCGGAAAGACAGTATTAGGCAAGGGAACAGCACCATGAGGGGCAGATCTAGCCAGAAATGAGGGAAGAACAGCAGGGTGGAAAGTGTATCCACCCACACCATGTTGTGAAGTGAAGTATCCACCTGGCTGAAGACTAGGATAAAATTGATTTGGTGCTGTCATAAAGGAAGCTGCCGAGGCATAGAGTGGAGGTGTGAATCCAGATGACTGGAGTATTGGCTGTACCTCTGCTGGAGAAATGCTAGAGGAACCATATTGAATATGGTTTGAGCTATATGCACGAATTAATCCTGGATAACTGATCTGAGACTGAGAGCCCTGAACTCGAGAAGTATTGCCTTGCTGTGAAAATGATTGCTGCTGCAACATATTGTTGGAGGAGAAGACTTGCACATTGTGTTGGATTTTGTTGTAATCAGAACTTGAAGCACTAGACAAGTTAACACCCTCAACGCCAGATTTAATAAGGGCAACATCCAAATCACTTACCCCAGTAGTCAATAAATCATCTTTTGAATCAAGATTTACAGTATTTAAGTGGGTTTTGAGTATAGACGGCCTAATGAGTGTACCCCTTGTATCGTCAATAAGTGGTGGGCTTGAAACAGGGGAAGTAAAAGGACTGCATTGTGAGACTTGCCTCGTATCATCTGCACTGGGAGCATTTGCAGCAGAAGTTGATGTACTGACAGAATCAGCTTCTAATTCAACTGCTTTTTCCATTGATTTATGGCTCGAGGAGCAATACTGATTGCATGCAGGTAAAGATGTCGAGTGGGGATCTTCCTACAGATAAGAATTTTTATTTTATCATCACTTCTAATATAAATTGATGAGTATGAAAATATGCAATGAAACACAGAACCGAAGAACTAAAGACGCTTCATATATTTATAGTTGTTGTACTGTCAAAGAATATATGGTTTAAAATGAATGCCTTTTAGGTCATTGGGATAGAAGTTAAAATCAGTTGAAGATTGGTATTATGTTTAGATATAGCATTTCTTTCCAGAGGTAGAATAATGTTTTAAAAGGTTACTGCAACATTTATAAATACTGCCTGAAAGTGAATATTAAAATCTTGCCTCCATCAGCTTTCTTTTCTTTACAAGAAGCATAGAATACCTGTGTCAAGTCAAATGTATCCTCGTGGTGACCCAATAAAACAGCTCTCTCTACAGACAGAGATCCACTCACTTCGGATGATCTATCATCCTCAGGCTCTTCCTCGTGAGCAGGAAGGTTACCCATAGGCAATAGCATTGAATCATCATTCGAAGACATCTTCCAATCACTGCTGGTACTATTACTATGGTGAAAAGGGCGTCTTTCCCTTGAGTTAATAGGCTGTCCGAACTTTGGGTCCAATTTGACGTTAGAACTATACTTTGAAAAAGAAGTTGACTCAGCAAAATATTTCCCTTCAGTCTCAGAGTTGTCGGCAGAGATGCTTGAATGTACCAGACCAGGATTCAAAGTGGATGTCCGCCAAGAAAAGATATTCTCAAGTGCTGCTATAGAACCCTCCATACTTGGGGGTGCACTCTCACTCCGGTGTGGTATCATATCCTTCCCAAGGCCTTGAAACCTTTCACCTTTTAGGAACAAACCAAGATCTTCAATGGCTGTGTTAGCAGGTGCTGGTCCATACCTGGTAGACTGCTTATGGGACAGCCAATTGTCAGTCCCTCCTAAACCTCTAATAAGGCTTTCAGTCGCCATTCACTAGATATGATTGCCCTCGCTCAAATCTTACTAGCATTACACAGTCTCCTAATAGCCACAAAGTAACCACCTTCAGTCCACATTTCATAATTCGAGAAATAATGGTGGAAGAGACCAACATACACACAGATTGTAAAGAAAAGTACATAATTCATACAGCATGTCGGTACAAAATGAGCAACTCAATAAGAAAGATTCCTTCAGATGAAATTGCACATAGATCATAACTTGATCAAATGAAATATTTCAAATTCTGCTGATTCAGAATATAATGAATATTTTAAATTTCGCTGCTATGTGTAAGTGGATAGTTGAGTGTTGCTAAATATATCACATGCGGTCTTTCCATTAAATCAACGAAATATAAGTATAAAATATTATACAATGCTTCTGCAGTAACTACAGCAACTACTTACCATATCTTGACATCAGTTTATGTCACGAAAGTTATTAAGGTCCAGGGATATCTTTAGTCGAGATCTTAGTTGGATAAAACCATTACTCCAAACAATATATGGTAACATCACAATTTGAAGCCAAACGAAAACGCCCCACTGAAATGGCTTCATCTTGCTTATCTTTCATAATTATTGCATATTATGTTTCCTTTCTTCAGTATATAATTTAAAAACTTCCACATAGACCAAAGGCAATTTTAAATTGAAGTAATCAGAGAAACAAAAAGTTCTAGAGGGCTGCATGTACATGCAGGGCATAAAAAGTTGGCCACTGGAGTATTTGATCTTGGAAATTTTTGCTAATGTGATGGGTGCTATCATCAGTATAACTCAATTGTGTGTGTGTGTGTCTCTCTTCTTTAGTTAGTAAGATCATATTAATCCTATTGTCTGCACCAGATTACTCCACATAATCTTCAGTCAATTTTTCTTTCTTTCTTTCTTCCTTTTTTTTGGGGGGGGTTTTCATTTCAAGATGCAATTTCAAACCGGAAAAGTAAATGAAATACTCCGTTGCAAAATAAAATTCGTACATGTGGCTTGTAAATAGACTCCATACATGACTAAAGAGCATCTGGAGTAAACAATAAAAAAAACTTGTAATAGATAGTATCACTGTAGATACACGGTAATTAATGTAGCGTTCTCTCCAAGAAAAATGGAAAAAGAAAAAAGGAATAGCCAACAACCATAGCAGTCATGAGGTAGCATCTAGCATCAGTAGTATTAAAAAATTTCCCATTAAAAAGAGTTTCACCAAGGTGCTATCCTGACTCCCTGAGTCTTATCTTTTCACTCCTTACCTTGTCACTTTGATCACGGATGAATTTATAAG